CATGACATGATTTGGCATCCAAGAGTCATCCAGCCGACGATCCGAAAGGGCGAGTACATCATGGCCATCACTGTCTCGGGCGGAGGATGGATGCCCCTCCCTCGCGAGTCGAAGTCAAACTTCCTGGACCTCGCCAGGATTTCGGTCCTTCAAAAAGTGAGGGCCGAAAATGACTCGTTTGCATCTGACGATGTATCTGTTATTTCCACAGCCGGGCGACTGTTCGACGAACTTCAGGACAAGTGCTGGTTGGAACTGACGGAGGACTACTACGAACTTAATACGAGCCCCTCGAAGGGCATGGTGGACTGGAAAATTCCTCCTCCCAGTGGGGCACACAGGAGTCCCGGGGGCTGGCCAGCAGACACTGGGCGGGACGGAGGCGACAATGGGGGGGTGGCAAAGGAGTCCCGCCTAGTGGGGAGGGCAGGTCTCGAGGCGACACAGCGACAACGGAAGGCAGCGGTGGGGTGGCGGGGGAGGCCTTCGGTTGTCAGCGGTCTATTGGTCCCGGTCCGGAGGACTCGACACAGTCCGCCGACGTGCCTACTTCGTCCGCCGGCTCGGTGAGGGAGATGATGGCAGCCTTGGTTGCTCTTCGTGGTGGCTCGGGCGGAACGTTCAAGTCCGTCGGGATCCGAACTACAATGGTTGAGGTGCCGACACAGCGGTGGGCCTCACAGAGCTGGTCGGGAGTGGGGGTGCCGAGTCATGATCCCACAATTGACAGCGGTGCGGTGAGGGAAGGGAATGTGCCGCCTGAGGGGGAGCGATGACCCTTCGGTTGGAGCGAGAGGGTACAAGTGGAGGGCTCAGCGACAGGGAGACGACGAAGTTCGCCGACATCCGAACTTCTTCAGGCAGGGGGGGCCGGCCAGGGATTGTCGTGCCGCCGGGAGGACAGCGTGCCTGGAGCCAGAAGGGCGGTCGTCGAGATTCGACAGGGGTTCGGGAGAAGTGGCTGGATTGCATGCAAGGGAAGGAGGGGGGGTAATGGAGGAAGGGAAGGAAGGCGAGGAAGGAGTGGAAGGGGAGGAAAAGGAGGAAGAAGGGTATGAAGGGGAGGAAGAAGAGGAGGAAGGGGAGGAAGGAGAGGAAGGGGGAGAAACAGAGTTGAGTGAGTTGTTTGAAGGAAAGTAGGGTGCAAAAGGGGACGTCGATATTGGAGACGACGAACGGACAGTGAGTGACGACGATGCCGGATCAAGGGAATCATCTGACGGATTTGGGCTGTTGTATGGAGAACATCGCGAGGATGATGACGATGACGATCCGATGGCAATGGAGATGGAGACACAGGTGGTCAGCAACCTTTCGGCAGAACGTGATTACTATGAGGTCCAAGCACTGACGTCTATCGTCGATCTCCAACACCGGTTCAACGAGGCTCCTGTTGCTGCGAACCTATCTAAACCGAGTGGCCGTACAGACGTCGAAGAAGTTATCGATGGCATACTAGGTGACCACCACATGTTCGAGCAGCCGTCCACAACGCCTGATGTCGACGACCCTCGCAACGTCAAACCTTCCGCGGCATCTGCCATCGCTTTCTCGCCGCCGAACTCTCCGATATTGTCGGCGACCTTCGCCAGCGGAGGGGAAGGCGGGGTTGGGGCACGACAACATGTCACGTCCCCGAAAAAATCTAGGGTCGACACTCAAGCTCTCGACGTGCTGGCCTTGCCCGTGCCAACTTCACCGACGAAGGAGTGGAGGGACAAACCGGCTGGTAAGCTATGAGAAACAACACTCTGTATGCGCGCCCAAGCTTCCAAGAACGAGAGTGCGGCTTCCTTCGTAGTCCGGATGTCGGCGGACTACCTTCAGTACCATACACACAAGGAGTGACCACAATGTTTGTCAATGCAGGGAGTTCCTGATGTCGGCATACTACAACCACCACTCCTTCCAAGTACATGTGACCGACCTTCCTGTGAGTCGGCTAGGTCGTTGGTCTCGTGCAGAGCATACTACAACAAAAACATGTACGTTTTTGTTGAAGCGTTCCCTCACAAAATGAAATGACGGTTTTTCTTTCTTAGAAAGAGTGGTGGTTTTAGTCCGTCGGGATCCGCACTTCCAATGTCGATGCGTAATGCGGTTAGTCTTTGTGTGCCTGGATTGGGGAAAAGTCCGTCGGAATCCGGACTTCGGGGATGTTTGGTTTCCGCTTCTATGGCTTGTTGTGGTTTTCCTTTCAGAAGGGCGGGGGTGTCGAGCTCGAATGCGCTAGTCGTTTTGTTTTCCAGCCTCGCTCACGCACCTCGGTGCTCGTGGTCATGACAAAACGGGGTTCTGTAATTGGATAGGTCGTGCGTCTTTTAGATTACGTGGTTCTCAAATTGTCACTTTCGTCGGGTTCGTGTTGGGAAACGTGTATTCATTTTTCGTTTCGTCTTTCTTCTGTTGTACAGGGGTAGGGTCATCTCGAACACGGAGGTCCTCGAAATATTCGGAACACATATTGCAGACAGTCCCGGGGTTGACGACAAAACACAAGGATATGTTAAAGGCATAAGGGGTTGATGTCGAGATCGGGAAGAAGGAGCATGTCATTGCAATTGAGGAGTGTTTTTCCCTTCTGCCCCCAGAGAAAGGGACATATCCACGATCTATGATTAGGGGTCAGGCCATGTATGAGAAATACTTAGTTACTCGTCCTGCAATGAAGGAGAATCCTTAGAACTTCGTTTCTCACTACCCCGCGTATCCTTTGCTCGATGTTGTGCAGTGCGGGCCACAACTCCTGGAACACACGGGGGAAGATTCGTTGCAGTGACTGCGCCTCGAAGCTCGCGGGTTTTGGACGACATTAAACGAGGCTCGGTGCCACCTAATACTGTTCTCTCTACCCTCGGCGATGGTCAATTGCGAATTGCAGCAAAATATCTTCTCACCCTCTCACATATCGACGACAGGGTGAATGATGAGGTGGTAAATTTTGACCGCATATGCAATACGTGACATCTCGTCAGACCTTTGAGCCTTAAGTTTTAATTCATTCTTCTTCAGTAAACTGCAAGTTCAAGGACACGACGGGGTGGAAAGCTGGGCTAAAAACGTGTATCTGCTTCAATATGATATTATCTTTGTTTCTGACCACAAAGATAATCATCACTGGATCCTCCTTTCTATCAACTTGAGAGATATGTTCTTGAAATTTTCGATTCATTTCCTCGCATTATAGCTGATTCTAGTTTTTACCTTAGTGTTTTCGAGTTAATTGTACAATATTTGGAACGTCGAACATTACATAGGCGGTCGGGTAGGAGTTGGAAGTAGGTAGCAACAAATATTGTGGTGGAGGGAATTCCAAGACAAGTGGATGAAGCTAGTTTAGGGGTGTTTATGTTGATGTTTGCGACACTGTTGCAACGTGGTGATCGACCATCTTTCATGTTCTCTTGTAAAGATATTCCGCTTATTAGACGACAATTGGCATCATGTATCTTCGAATTTCATCGTCTTTGATGAATTTCATTGACTTAGAGACTTTCTTTTGAAAATATTTCATTCATTAATGATTATATTTTTTTAATCCTGACATTACTCAACTGTTTTCACAACGACATTTCTTTCTTTTGCCGTTGCGAGTTTGAGTTATCTTTGGCATGCTCACTGTAAGTCTGAAGTCACGTCTTGATTTTCGAATCTTTGTCACGTCCCAGTCGTCTGTCGTGCGCTGGAGCAAGTACTCATTGTGTACGAATTGTGTTCAGGTCAACCAAAAGTGTACATATGATTGACATCAAATACTATCAATAATTGTACTGTATGCAACGAAAATTGGAGTGTGGATGCAAGTCAAATCTCGGCGAGTGTTTGAGTGTGCAATTCATTATGCAAAGACCACTAACATCACGTCTCTTGTGTGCGCATAGAATCGCATGCCTTGGGACCGCCTACATTACACGTAATCAATAACTTTGCGTTTGTACAAAAGTCTTTTGCGCATGGTCAATTAAAATGCAGAGTCGATCAAAAATATGCAAAACTTGAAGTTCTTATGTGATATCACAAGTATTGTCGCAGAAAGCGAACTTGTATGTCGAAATTGGCTGCTTGCTACAAGACGAATGATGAACATTTTGAGTTGTACTTCGACTATTGCTGTAACTGTCACATTACTTTCTTTTAAGTCTACAATGACACATTGTTCAAGCGAAAATGTTGAACAAGGATACAATCCTAACACCTTGCTCGTCATCATTGTAAACAAGTATGAATCTCAACACACTTCCGCATATCAGGCGAGATGGTGGGCGTGTCCATCATCACACTAAGTATTATAAAGAAGTTCAGATCTCATCAACATCCAAACAACCATCTCGGGCGAGATGATTGGCATGCCCGCAGAACTCAGGGTTTTCAGTTGTGCTTCGACTACTGCTGTAACTGTTACATTACTTTCTTTGAAGTCTACAATGACACATTGTTCAAAGCGAACATGTTGAACAAGGATACAATCCTGACACCTTGCTCGTCATAATTGTAAACAAGTATGAGTCTCAGCACACTTCCGCATATCAGGCGAGATGATGGGCGTGTCCATCATCACACTAAGTATTCTAAAGAAGTCAAAATCTCATCAACATCCAAACAACCGTCTCGGGCGAGATGATTGGCATGTCTGCAGAACTTAGGGTTTTTAGTTGTACTTTGACTACTGCTGTAACTGTTATTACTTTCTTTGAAGTCTACAATGACACATTGTTCAAAGTGAAAATGTTGAACAAGGATACAATTCTGACACCTTGCTCATCATAATTGTAAACAAATATGGATCTGGACACACTTCCGCATATCAGGCGAGATGGTGGTCGTGTCCATCATCACACTAAGTATTTTAAAGAAGTTTGGATCTCATCAACATCCAAACAACCGTCTCGGGCGAAATGATTGGCATGCCTGCAGAACTTAGGGATACCCCAAAGAAATGTGTTATCCAACAAGGATTTAATCATGACACCTAGCTCATCACATTTATGAACTTTGAGTTCAACAAGTACGAATCTCAACACACTTGCGCACAGGGTTCCTGAATGGTCATGCCTATCATTACACTAAGTCTTTTAAAAAAGTCCGCATCTCATTAAACATCCAAACAACCATCTCAAATAAGAGGATGGATATGAATGTACAATTTAGGGATAACCTAAAGAATTATATTATCCAACGAGGATCCAATCATGACACCTTCCTCATCTTATTTATAAAGTTCAGCAAGTATGGATCACGACACCTTGGGGCGAGTGAATGGGCATGCTATATTGCTTAAGCTGCATTAAAATGAGTTCGTTAGAAAAAGGACACAATATAATGTCCTATTTTAACGAATAACATGTTACACAGCCCCAGCAACAGCTAGTGCAGCAACCTGCGCCCAGGGTGGAAGGGTCCACAGCCCGGAGTGGGCCAGGTACCGGGACAAACACAGTGGGTTCCAAATACGACCATCACCTCACCCAAACCCTTTTCATGGGACAAAAGGGGCGAAAACCTTGACACATGGTTGAGGTCAATGTCAGACTATGTTAAGTGCAAGTTTACCTTGCCGCACGAGGAAGTGCTTGTGGCTGCCTCCTCTCTTGAGGGGAGTGCAGCAAGATGGTTAAGTGGGCTAGTGCAACTTCAGGGGTACGGACATGACTTTCACGCTTGGGCAGTCAACCAGAAACTGGATGACTTCCTGAAAATGGTGCAGGAGAGGTGGCATGATCCTCAGGAGGCTCAAAAAAAGGTTATTGACGCGATCCTGACTCTGAGCAATAGACCGTTCAAGTCAGTAAGGAATGCCACAAATGCAGTAGAGTGTCTAATCTGTGTACCTAGAGTGCGCTATGACCCCCAGGTCTTGCTAACCACTTACCTGAGATGTCTCCCTATGCCACTCGGGAATCAGTTGGCGGGCAAACATCAATATACACAACTTTCCCTCGTTTAGCAAGAAGGCCCTAGACCTGAATACTAAGATAGGGCATGGGCACCAACCCACGACGGATGGTAGGAAGAAGTCACTGCCTCTCAACTGGAAGGTGAAGAGGTCAGAAGGGCCGTATTATGTTCGTCGACAACGATGGCTCAACCATTGAGTTGGACGGCAACTTCTAGGAGGAGTAGGTTCAGAGGCGGGCAACGTAGAAGCTTTAGGGGGTGGAGTAATCGCTGCCAAGCGCAAAAAGGTAAGGCGGTCGGTAGAAGCCGAGGAGGCTCCCGGCGTAGGAGTCAAGTTGACCCCAACGCTCCTCCATGGGAGAAAGCGGGTCTCACAGAGGACGTGTGGAGAGACCGGTACACCAAGCAGACCTGTATTCGTTGTGGTCAATATAGCCATAACCAGTTCAAGTGCCGCAATAAGAAGGTGAAGGAAAAGATACCGCCTACGATGGGGCAGGCGTTGGGATCATCAGCTCCCGTAGGTAGCAATATTGCCAATAGTTCTGGAACTGCTCCGGGAAACACGTCGGGCCCGTAGGAATAGTAGTTGTTCCTGCTAGGGTCGAGGTGGTGGACACACCTTCACCATCTCGAAAGATGGCCCAAGCTACCGACTCCGTTGTCGTCCCACGAACACATCCAGACCCAGCGTTAGGGAGGAGTGGTCTAGATCGGACCTGCTAGCTTCTTGGATGACCATGGCCAAAACCCCTAAGAGTGAGTTGTTCGTTGGCGAGGTAGTCATCGGCGGCCGCAAGGCCGGGACCTATTATGACACTTGCTCGACGCGGGATTTTATTAGTCGCTCGTGTGTTGAGAGGCTGCACTTACAGGGCCAAGTGCAACACCTTAGTCGACCTGTGGAGTCGACCTG